GAGCTCTGCTAGACTGAGAAATGCCTCTTGGTCCATTCCTGTAAGCAGTCTTGGCTCAGCAGTGACTTTCAGAACATCCCTGAAAGGGCTGTGGTGCTCTAAACCGTGTTTCAGGGCCCCTCTGGGTAACATCTAGCATTAATCTAACATCACAGAGCCTGGATGGGCAGTGTACAGCACAGCTCTCCGTCCTCCGAGGGACATCCTGGGGAGAGAAGAAATGCCTCTTGGTCCATTCCTGTAAGCAGTCTTGGCTCAGCAGTGACTTTCAGAACATCCCTGAAAGGGCTGTGGTGCTCTAAACCGTGTTTCAGGGCCCCTCTGGGTAACATCTAGCATTAATCTAACATCACAGAGCCTGGATGGGCAGTGTACAGCACAGCTCTCCGTCCTCCGAGGGACATCCTGGGGAGAGAACGTTTCCTTCACGTAGCAAAGGAAAAACTTGCAAAGGAAGAAGGAGGAGGAGGAGGACTGTGGTCCTGCACTTGTTGACCTTGTCTGTGATCAGCCAGTAAGCAAGAGGAGATTCATTCCCTCTCCTGGAATATTCATGGGTCCTTCTCCGAGGCGCTGAAGACTTGCAGTATCAGAGTTGGCTGCAGTGGTGTGTTGGCTGCTGAACTGTTAATTAAATTACCCACAGCACAGGTCCCTGGCTAAAGCCTTTAAAAGTCTTCAGTGCTCTTTCATCTGTGCCCAAGTATCTTCTGGGAGCAGCTTGCAATTAAAGTCAGCTCCTCATGAAAACTAGAGGCTCTCCAACAGGGTGATACTGGTGGTAGTAAAAAGCCAACAAACTCAGTGATTTACTGGGGCTGGGTCAGTGCTGGGAAAGCCTGTGCCCCTTCTCTGAGAGTCCCTTTTCAAGTTCCCAGGCTCCATTCATGACTCATTTGGAGGCTGAATCTGTCCCTCTCCTCCTCTTCTCTGTGTTCTGTGGTCTGTGTGATCATAAGTTGCATTGCTGTGCTCCATTTTCCCCTGCCTGTGGCTTCTGGGCTTTTGTATGGCTTCTTTAGAATTTCACAAGTACATCACAAGATGCTATTTTGGGTCCCTGCAGGATAAAGAGTGTTTAAGATCTTCAGGTTGCCCTTTGCCACTTCCCATTAAGACTGTGGAGATACTCAGACAACAAAATGAATAAACCAAAACTCTTGGTAAATCTTGGTCCAGCCTGTTCACTTCACTTGTATAGATGAGTCGAAAAGGTGTCGTTGCTTCTTTCCCCACATCACAAGATGCTATTTTGGGTCCCTGCAGGATAAAGAGTGTTTAAGATCTTCAGGTTGCCCTTTGCCACTTCCCATTAAGACTGTGGAGATACTCAGACAACAAAATGAATAAACCAAAACTCTTGGTAAATCTTGGTCCAGCCTGTTCACTTCACTTGTATAGATGAGTCGAAAAGGTGTCGTTGCTTCTTTCCCCTGATCCCAGCACACAGTTTTCCAAATAGATAACACTCCACTCCCTGAGTCAGAGGCATATGCTTAATCAGCCTCAGAAGTGGAGCGTGTGCCTCAGCCCCTCAGACTGCACTCCCTGCACACTGTCCTTGGACACGGAGCCGGGCCGAGCGGGAGTGAAGATGCTGCAGGTATTTCTTTGCTGTCTGGGGCTGCCAGGGGCAGAGTGAGGGGTGCTGGGGTGGTC